GGATGTATGGTAATACTGAAGACTCACCAAACCAACCTACCCTGCACAATCTACAAGACACACTGGATCGTCAGTGTCGACTAATGAGAACTGAAAGCTGTAAGCATGGACCATGGATAATACAAATTTGCCAACGCAATGCGTCACACGTACATCTAAAGAACAAAGAACGACCAAATACAACAACACTTCCAAGAACGAAATGGACAGAAGAGGATAAACGATCGGTGTTCAATTCCTCTTCACTTCGGCAGGACATACTTCAATCAACGACCCTTGACACTGCGGCCTCAAATGGCAGCTCCATAAACTGCCAGTGTCAGGGTAACAATTGTTCAGAGCCAAAGTTCATGATTGTTTTGTTCAAAGGGCGGTCTGTGTACTTCAAGGCGTATGATAGTTCGAAAAACACGTTTTATAAGTGGGCTTCGTTAACTATCCGTATTGCTGACGCTCGAGCTAGAATGCAGGTGGATTATTCTAGGTGTTACATCTATGTAGTGTTAAAGGGGAGATCAGTTTTGTTGCAATATGGAATAAGAAATGGACGAGCAGTTTCCAAAAGAAGAATTTGTTCAGATGTTACAGCTTTTGCTCTTGATCGAATCAGGAACGACTTGTTTATTCTGAAGCGCCGCCGTCATCGGTTCGAGTTGATAACAGTGCCTCTACAGGAGCCAAAGAAACGAATGACAATACCAGCACAGACCCTAGATCAGAGGGTTCCCATTTTGTGGTGTGACGCTGACATCACGAGTGTGTACTGGTGGTGCCCTTCTGTGCTCTGCAGATACGACCACAGCACGAACAGAGTCACAACACTGGATTTTGTCCGGTCTCATAGACATCATGTCATGGCAGTTGGCTCAGGGAAAGTATACTTCATGAACAATGGCTTACAAATATATGACATAATCATCAATAAAGTCCACAGAGTGAAGCAAATGTATGCCATGAAAAGATATTCCTTCCTAGACGTGACACAAGGAACTGTTATCTTTACCCGTGAAATACAGCAGCACATAAAAGTCATGTTATATAAGAAAGGACACCGTAAAATGATGCATATGAGAAAGGGTCTTAAAGGTTTAGATCACTTTGAGGTAACAGTTGGATAAGAAGCCTGGTATATTTTAGAACATTAACAATTATACTGTGTTTTAAAACCACCTGATTTTAACTCCACAGACATAGTTGTCAGGTTTGATAAATGGCAAGTCATCCCAAAGCCCAAGCGTATGATGTGGTTTCTTGGATTGTTTTAAAACATTATTGTTTTCCAGAAAAATACTGGGACATCATTATGTCCTCAGATTTTGCAAAAATGCGAATTGTCTGCTGGACATTCTGAATGTCCTTAACTGTGAAACTGTTGTATTTTGTGTGTGTTGAACCAGTGTCTGAGTAAATATCCCGTCTCTAATCATATTGGTTAGACGGATGGGAGAACAGAACCTTAGTAATAAAAAGCTTTAAACGCCAACGACCTGCATTATTGTCATCCTTATTAAGCTGACATGCCCTGTATGACTGAAATATTGTTCAAACCCACGTCAACTCACTCACTCACTCACTCGCTTACGCTTTCGTTGCTCCAGAGTCACAAACTATGTATAATCCTTTGAGGATATTGTCACATACTGCTTCCTAAATGTGTAGTTCGATAGTTTCCAGCTGTGTGTGCCTCTTCCAGGCCACCTTGTGAAAAATGGAAACTATTTTCTATATATGACGCCTTTGGCTACTGTCTAATATCTACAGGTTAACTTAATAGCGAAGTGAAATCAGATGAACTGAGGTGAGTTGAAATGGGGTTAAAGGTTGCCTTCAAGATTATTGCACTTATATAATATGGGTGTGTTGCGGCTTGTACTACTCCGGACTCATGTGGCAGCTTAATATGTATATCCCACTGTGTCATATCTCTAATTTACACCGACTCGGGACGTCCTGTCCTGGACTAACACCATGGCATATACAATTGAACCTCGTTGTGTCGAACTTGGATATGTCGAATTCGCTGTTGTGTCAAACTCATTTCGGAGTCCTCAGAATTAAAATATATCATATAATTCCCCTGATGTCTGGAACCAAAGATAACCCGAACTTTATTCTAGGTCCCAACGATTTCGACACAACGAGGTTCGTCTGTTTTTATGTCCCTTCACCATCAGCAAAGAGACAAACACTCGGCCTCTTCAGACTCACATGTTCAATATCGTAATTAAATACGGATGTAGTGATATAAAATATTTTATTAGAAAAAATTATTTGTGATATAAAGACGCCATGTTGATGATTAAATCTGGTTGGAATATAGTACTTCGAATAATGTCTCACATACCCTTTCCGGGGCTTTTTAACAACAAACAAACAATTTATTTATTGCCTCACTAAATGGAGATCTAAACAAACAGAAGGAAGTGGAGTTTGTCAGGGAAACATATTTCAACTCCAAACAGCAATGCGTAAAACATACAAAGGAATATACAACGAGGGTAGTTCGTGGCTTCACATAAACCATGAATATTAGTCACACATCAGTAAAACCTCCTTTGAATTTCAGCCATGCTCCAGCTTTGTAATCGCTGCCCTGTAGCCGGCGTAGACAGGCAGTCAACACGTCTTAACTGGAAACAACTCTACAGAAGTGATTTGAGTTTTGGGAAGAAATGCTGGGGGCACTCATAAGTAATTCAAATCTACAACTGCACCTCCTGCCTTGCGTAACGTGTGCTGTGGGAATTCACACTGGCTAACAGACCATATATTGATAAGTAAGGAGCGTTGAAACATCTGATCTGATCACTCATTATCAATTATTCTGTTATTCTGATTACGTCACACAATGTTACATTCAATGTTGCATATTATAAAAAAGCTCATTGTCCATATCTCTAAAACTCGATGTTAAAAAGAAAGTACTTGAATAACGATACTAATAAAACATGTACTTAGTTGTTCATATTTAATGCTTTTTCTCTCCATGTCAGATGACACTTTTCTTGAAGACAAAACTCTTAACATGAAAACTGTTATACCAAATGGCACTTCATATAACATTAGGCGCCACAACTAAACTGTGAATTGCAGATGAAAAGAGTAAAAGCAAACGGAATGAAAGTTGTGGAGCATCGGTCTTTTACTTTGGAATTTCATCAATGGCGAATGTATCAGTCAAAGTAAACATTTACAGTAAACTACGTTTATAACGAACACGTTTATAACAAACTGATGGATACAACAAGCTTGTCTTTTTGGTGCCGGCCATTTGCTGTATATACATTGCATATATGCTTAAAAGGAAGGAAGGTTACAACGAACTAAAATTAGCGGTCCCTTTGAGTTCTTTATAACCGTAGTTTACTGTACCAATATTGAGGTGATCAATCGGCATGTGATATTTGTAATTTTCTGTCTTAACCAGACCAACAAAATATGGCAGAGTCGTATGGCCATACCTCATAGGTCCAACATCAAAGAAATTTAAAAGTTTGCATCCATGTGGATATTAGTGAGTGAGTGAGTGAGTGAGTTGGGTTTAACGCCGCTTTTAACAGTATTCCAGTTATATCACGGCGTGTCAGCTTAATGTGGGAGGAAAGCCCGAAGTGATGCAGGTCTCAGACGTTTACCACTTCGGTGAAACCCACGAGCACGGGTATGGTGCTGACAAACCTAGAAACATAATTGGGTTGAACCGGGATTCGAACCCACAATCATAGGTTTCTGACGTGTCCAAGGGACGCAACTCTGCACAGCGAAACGCGGCGCCTTAGGTGACTGGGTCACCCGTGCCCCCTGAAGATATTATATGCTTATTACCCGGAGTTACAAGAATTTCAGACTCGTTGTCTTAATCTTTTTACACGATCTCAAATAATTATGATATCCTGATATACTAGTATTAAATGCTGCACTGATCTATCTGGAAAAAAACTTTCCTGGAACTAAACTCCTTAATAGCTGAAAGTTTTACAGATTTATGTCACTGTACAATACAACTGAAATCTACTTCTGACAGACAAAGTGTATCTCATGCTCATCTGTGTGACTCACAGACTCGTTGATGATGGTGAAACCGGCTTTAGCAACCATCTCTCTTGCCAAAGATGCACCCCATGTAGCCCCAAGTGCTGCAGAGTCAGGCCTGCGCAAGCTTTCCGGAATACACAAGAATGTGCTCGCCGAGTAGTAGAACATAGCTGAGGCATTAGCAATGTTGCCAGTTATGCCTCCCTCTATTCCAATCTCAATCATGCTGAAAATACCCCCTGGTTTCAGACACTGGTAAATCTCGTTTAAGGCTTTCTGTGGATATGTTAAGTCATGAATAACTAGACGGGTTAGTATCCAATCAAAACTCTCCTTGTAGCTTTCAGATATAGTTTCAATATTGTCTGTGTCATAAGTGACATTCTGAAGGCCCTGGGTGCTTGCTTCCTCTCTGGCTTGAACCAATGGCACGCTTGCTACATCAGAACCAAGGAAGGTGCTGCTGTTGAATCGCGAAGCTAATTTATTTAAAATTATCCCAGTTGCACAACCAAATTCCGCAACCTTGATTCCGGATTCTGTATTAAAAAACAAAGAGGTAAAGTAAGACATAAGACAGAAACCTGGAAATACTTCAGAATTAGCACTCAAAAGTAAAATATTAAACACAATTCCTAACATCAACATACAGTCGAGTAGTATTAATATTAAATCATGTTAAGTTAAAACATATCAGTGCGATTCCTGCGTCCATTTTATGCATATGTGCCTTCATTTTGTTTCTCTTGTAAAGTAAATAGTTAGAAGATAGGTACGTGGCACAAAGGCATTTATTCATAAACTATTGCATAATTGTGATCAAAATTGGTCGTTAACGCGGGAATTGTTGTATTGTGCTCCAACTCGTCTATTCGTTTACCCACCTAACTTCGGCAGCAACAGAGGAATGGCAGACAGGATATCTGTATCAATCATATCTTTCTTGACTACGACCAAAATGTCTGTCATGTTTCAAAAAGCCCAGGGGTTTGACTGTAGACTATTCCTGTAAATAGAATAGTACCATAAGAAAAACATACCAACACCCACGCAAATGAGAGAAAGCGTCAGGTACACAAGATCACTTCGTTATACAAAAACATGCGTAGAGATAAAAGCTGAAAGTATGTATGAATTTGCACAGTTTATCAAATAGTGATGATACCAAGTGTTAGCGAAAATGTGAGTGTATCCTCCCCTACCAGTGGCACCCATCACAAACACATGCAAAGGTAAATCAATTGTACACCTGACCCGTGAAGATCCGGGGTAGAATAGGTATTCAGGAACCTATGCTTGCCGTAAATGGCGACTGTACTTGTCGAAAGAGGCTACTAACGGGATCGGGTAGTCAGGCTCGCTGACTTGGTTGATGCATGTCATCGTATCCCAATTGCGTGGATCGATGCTCATTATATCAATCACTCATTTGTCTGGTCCACACTCGGTTATTGAGACATTTGAGATACAAAAGTAACTGAAACTGTACATTTGACATCCCTTATTTGACAAGGAAAGGGAGACACAGAAATGAACCTAATAAGTAATATACCATCTTTGTATCTGCCTAACATTCCTTAAGTTGTGATTAAACAGTGTTTAATGAATTGTATTGAATTGAATAAGGAAGATCATGCATAGATAGACAATATGTCAATGAGTGAAACTTGGTTATTTGTGCCTGATAAAGGGCTAGATATTATTATTGTGTCATATAATTGATTCTAAGAGTACCTTTTCTAACAACAGTTACAATTGTTTCATAAAGTTGAATCACTTTCTACATGATGATTAACTTATGATCAACTTCAAAGCATAAATACCCTGTTTTCATGATCAATACCATATCGGATTCCTCATGGGAAGAGCTGATAATACTTATGTTCCAGACATGTGTGTCGATTGAAAATTCGACTTGTACGTAACTGTGTTTCTACATGTTCACTCTCAACAGGATTACAACTCATGGCGAGAAATAGGAATGTAAATAAGTGTCTGCGCATTATATTGATGAAATCCATGTGAATGTACAATGTCCTTACCACCAGTGTTCCGTTGTTGAGCACAGTCCTTGATACTGGCATGTCTCAAACCAAACTGTGGCAAAAATCTGGAAAACACAGATATTGCATTGAATGTGGCCTTGCGGTCTTCTGGAACATGGAACTGGGTGGACGAGTCGTCCACACTGATGACCTCCCCGACAGCGAGTGAACCAAGTATCTCACGCACATACCTGTGGAAATATATAATTATTATTAAAACATTTATTTATCAAAAACTTGTTCAAAGCTCATAATGATACGAGGGCTGGTCAAAACGTTCTACGCCTGACTAACTTGCAACTATGGGCCAAAACAAAGTGAACTAGTCGAGATAGAACATTATTTGAGTATTGAAACTAGTATTCACAAACATTTACAGACGAATAAGATATCTGCTCGTTTGGGTACCAAAAGGTTTCTAAATTCTGATCTAAAGGAAAAGGAACTGACATTGACAGAGAAAATTAAAAGCTAATTGGGGAGGGTTTCGTCAAATTCCAAAAGATTAGTAACGGGGGATGAAACATAGGTCTACCACTATGATGGCGCCATTCCACTTCTCTGGCACCAAAGAAATTCAAGTCTTCATGATCAGTGAAGAAAGTTATGGCCACTGTATTCTGAGATGCACAGGGTGTGATCCTTGTTAATTACCTTAGAAAGTCAAAAGACGATTACCGGTGGTCACTATGCTGATTTGAATTTATCGCCTGAGAGATTCTGTCAAAAAAAAGCAGTGAGGAATGCTGACTGCTGGAGTTCTACTACTTCATGACAATGCCTCTTCTTACACCTCTCGACTTGCAAAGGCTTCTGTGCGACAGAATGGTTTCGAAGAACCTTCTCATCCTCCATACTCGCCAACCTGGCACCAATGATTTCTAATCTATGACGACAACAACGACCGCAAAGCTGTCGTGAATCGGTTTCTTTAGGGTGGTTTCAGAAAACATCTTCCTGACTGGAATTAAAAAGCTTCACTATCGATTTGAGAAGTCTATTGAAAACCTGGGAGATTATGTTGAAAAATACAATTAACAAAATCTCCTCACAATTATTGCTTTTGTTTGTTAGGCTTACAACTTTTTGACCAGCCCACGTATATCACTCTTACAATATAAACTCAATCGACTGGACGGTCCCCATTGGTATGGAGCAATGTCAATTTGTTTGTAGGAGAAGTTCTGGGCAGTATTCAGGTTCTTAAACTTTCAGGGTCCCGGACGTAAATGGCGGCATAACAGAATATGTATGAGATGCCCTCCGCGTCTCCCCCCCCCCCCCCCCCCCCCTCCTTATCAATCTATGCCTGCTATGTCTATCTACAGAATATGTATGAGATGGGTCCCCTCTATCAATCTATGTCTATCAATGTTCTTACCAGTTCTTCATCATGAAACGGTATTTACCTTTCTCTGAGGTTCAGCTTGTCAGCCACCTGCTGTGATGTGAGAGGGACTTTGGCTTCCATCAACATCTTCACCACGCCCAACTCCCTTGCCAGGGACAAGCTTAACATGACACCACCGGCGCCGAAATAGTTCATCATCTTCTTGTGGTAGTCCGACATCGTCTCAAGTGTAGTAGTGCTTGAGTTTAGCCTGCCAGCAAGTGTAACTAGAACAATTCCCACACTAAACCTATCACAAAATAGGCCAGTTACAGCAATGTGATATTTTATTGTAAGTTTGTGAAGCATTTTTAATGTCAAATTTCGCTTTCAAATCTGTCGCAAGCTGTTCTTACAGTTAAGATCTCGCAGCGTCTCGCAACAAACATCTCCGCACACAAACACGCTTCCTTTCGCACTCACGAAAAGTTCAGTCTTTGCTTCACACAACGATTTAGCTGAGGGGACTATTTGACCTACTCCTCTTTGATATCCACAAAGACACAATAAGAAAACTGTCGTTTCTGTCAAGCCTGTGGTTTATCTCACAATGGTTTGCTAGCCATACTTCACAGACATTCTGTTCACTTCTCTAACGCTCACCTGAATTTCTGTCAAATGTAGGTTCACTGTTAAATCTTCCACTAACACAGCACCAGCACACGTCTGTGTGCTACTTGACGCTCTCTATTTAGGTCAAGTGGGTCAAGTCTCCCAGGCGATTGTGTAATGTTTTCTGCTGTTGAGTAATAAGAAAACCACTTGTAAATCTATCGTTGACATAAGGTTTCATTAAAAAAAATATTCAGTATATACACACATAAGTGAAAATTTACTTTGATAGGTGTTTTGTTGTTGAGATTTAACCGTCCTGCAGCTGTCTGTTATAGTTTTCGTATTCACTCACCTGAAATCAAGACGAAAATAGATTTAAGTACCGAAATAATGAATGTTTTTTCATTAAATATTTTGTTAACCTCAATGCACAATAAGAGTGAAAGTATTGTTTTAAGAATAGCAACAAATAACACTAAACTGTGCCCAAACAAGTCCATGGTCAACCATTGTTTGGGGCTCAGGGGCGTCTGCTACATAAAATTGGGATATTTCTTAACAACGTTTAATGAACGACTTGGTCTTCATTACACGGTGGCCTCCGAAGATTAGTATTTCGAGTTATATCCCATTACTTTCTTGACAACTTATGTCATAGCAGTTCATTCTGTGTGCACCATTTTATATACTAGTACCTACATTACCCTTCTCTGAATACCTCTGCCCCGTACTCCCACCCCCTGTCATAAATGGCCGGGCCCTTAGCTGCAACACCCTAAAGTCAAATACCCCGATTAAGACTCGCTAAGTTTCAGTGAAAGTCCTTGACATCCAGTCCCAACGATTTTTTTCAGTGCTTGTTGCATGCCGATATTTAATGCTAAAGTACAGCCGCCCACCAACTGTAATCTTGGGGTGATTACCCACACATCGCAGATACAGGGTGCAACCGATGTAAAATGATAAGGGTTAATGGGGGAGCTATGAAGTTGAACCAATGAACCAATTATTGGTTGGAGTGAGCTGTTCACACCTCACCTGTTAGGAGGGCCGACCCTTCATGAACTTATTACTACACTACTGCCCAAAAGTTCATTCCCCTTACACGCATGGGTAATGCGTGACGCAACCCGTGTGCACCGCGTTGGTCACTCGTATAGAACCTGTCCGCTTCGCGGCTGACACCCGTGTGCAACGCGTGACACTCTCATTTCATAAGGCACAAACGTTTGACTAAAGGAGGACCCATGTTAAGTTGAAACTAGAATTAGTAACAAGTAGAACATTTTTTTATATCCTGACGAAAAATGTTCAGACACATTTTATGATATATACTTGCTGGTGTCTCCTTTTTAGATGTGATTTTGTAGGAAAATATGAGTAGCGTTGTGATCAATCAGTTCTTATCTATAAGACCATTGGCTTCTTCATGATCGTTTGCTTTTGTGAGAACAAATGATCCTGGAAAATTTGTCATTATCATATATTGAAAAGTTTGTGTGATTTGATATTAAATGTCTGTAGTGCGACTTCCAGTGATTATATTTATGAGGTTTGGCGGAGCATTGTTTTCATTGGACACTAATAACTTTATGATGGCTGGGTCTCTTTGTCTCAGCTCAGTAGCCGTGATAAAGTGCAGCAGTTACTTATTGAGAGTAGGTTATATCATGGAGGATACATTTGAGGGAGAGGGTTCTACTATTGCCTTGCCGCAGGAAGAGACTAGCAGATGTGCGCGCGTGGTTGTGAATAAGGTAACTGTGGCGTAGTGGCCACCGACAGAGGTATAAATAGAGGTAAAATATGAAAGTAATATATATATGCTGGAACCCATTGACAAAACACGGACAAATCATAATTTGTGACATCAAGTACTATTTTTCATTTTTCAATTTTTATATGAAAAATAAAATACATTATTTGATATAATATTTGTTTTACTGATATCTGAAACTCGATTTTGCCATATCAATAAATATTTCATTATTATCAATTTGTGATATAAATTCATTCTTTGGAATCAACAAACGAACTACAGATGTCATAAAATGAGGAATAAATAGTAAAGAACGGCGACTTATATATAGTTCCTTTTGGGTTGTTTTGAGTAACCCGATTGCATCGAGTTATAGTGTTAATTGCTTGTCTGTTTCTGCACCAATATTTCTTTCATCTTATGAAAATCTGTTAAAACAATATCAACTTAAAATTTACTATTAACTGTAACCAAGGAAATAATACTTACCCGACCTGCATTTACTTATCTCTCTGTCGTTATCAATGTTATCACCTGTCTGTTTTAAAGTGTATGTACGTATACTAGAACATCGTACTGATTACGGAATGGTACATCATCTTAACACATTTACTATTATGTGCTGCATTTACCACGATATTTTGATTTTGTAGTCAAAAAGAATTGTTACCCCGATTATTACTGTATGATGGTTCACTCCTGTTCAGACGTGACATTCTGACAATTAGGTCATGTGTAATAGTCATCACAATCTCACCGGTTGTGGAGAAGTCTTGCGATAGTTGAGACTGATAGGCTGAGATATAAAGCAATTTATTTTCACATAGACGCTAACGCTTGCCATTTCATAATCCATTATCTTGGTGTTGAGGTATAACTATTGTATTGACAAGACCGCTTGTGTGGTGTGGTGTTTGTTTATTTGTTGTTTAACGCCGCACTCAGCAGTATTCCAGCTGTATGACGGCGATCTGTAAATAATTGAGTCTGGACCACACAATCCAGTGATTGACATTTTGAGAATCGATCCACGCAATTTGCATACGATGACATGCATGAACCAGGTCAGCGAGCTTGACCATCTGATCCTGTTTATCGCCTCTTACGACAAGCATAGTCGCCTTTTACGGCAAGCATAGGTTGGTCTGTTCTACACTGGAATCTTCACGGGTATGATATTGGATAAAGAATGAGTTAAAATTTAACGTTGCATCGTCATAAATACATCTATATAGCGGTTAGAACAAGTTGATATACTATACAACTGAGTCATGAATACAAAGAGATATTTGAATACAGATTTGTCAAACATGTCATGACAATAATATTTACAACTGTTTACAACAAGGACCATAAGCTTCCTGCACAATATCCCAGCAGGATTTACGTCATCACCTTTAGCTACTTGTGGTTGTACTCAATTCTAGACAATTCTAAAAAGTACTCAACAATTAGTTGGCTGGTTGATGAGCGCTATGTTATGATAGGAATAAGGGGGCAATACGTTTACAGTACTTTAACCTCCTTGACAGAGCTTTGAATAATCTTTGTTGATGCAAGCATCACACCAATTTTATAAACAAGCAAATAGTGACACACATGCATATTTTATTTCATTCATGATACAGAACAATTTCTTTCAAGTTGCTGAGAATGAGATGCCCGCTTACACGGGAATTCATTTTTCAGATTTACTGTTGGGTAATTTGAATCACTTTGCAAGTCCACACAGTGAAGCCAAGTAGGCTTGACGGTGAACCTTTCATCACAAGGAATACACTCGGATGGTTCGTCCTCTTCTGTTTTAAGCAGATATTCGCGGGTAAACCGACTGTGGCCAATACGACATCGTTGCAAAACGACCACATCATGTCTAGACGGACAAACCAAGTAGGTATGACTGAGTGTTGGTTTAAATTCGTGAAGTTTATTGATTCCTACCTGACTGTCCCACCTTTGTTTGCATTAGATCACGAGAATAACTCCTTCTGGTTGGTTTGAAATCACTGTATGGGATAAGAAGTGGAGATAGCGGTTCGTCAAGATCGGCTTTAGCTGCAGCATCGGCTATTGAGTTAACTATTTTTTCAACATGACGAGCAAAAGACGGAAGGAAGACCATTAAAAGATCAGACTCTCTTACAACAAAGTTCTGTTCACATGTCAGACATGACTTGTTGGAACAAGACACCTCATCCAGTCCGTCATGATAATTTGTTATACTTTTACAATTATATTCTTAATGGACTCAGTGCCGATATTGTGTCTTAACGCCAGTCTCTCGTTTCTGAGTAAAGAAATCAGTAACATTCACAACGTGATCGGATTTGTACACTTGTCAAAGATTTTAAGTGTTTATGCCAGCGTGTGACCGATGCATTGTGATTGTATGGGCGCTTTCGTATGTGGCCTTTTTTCAAAATATTACTTGTTATCCCCTTGAATGCTTACCTAAGAAAACATTGACAGTGAAATCGATCAGCCAGATGATATCCAGTCTCGGTTATCTGCCGAAGCAAATTCCATTGGGCATGAAACCCAAAGTAGTGATAAAAGTTATATGAAATCAACTGGATAGGTCCTTACTATTTCATACGTGTTTCGATGATCCGCTAAAACCGAACAAATGTAGAACGAAATTAACATTTTCAGTCAAACGGCAAAGTAATTTAAAAAACATTTTTGAGAATTGTTTCGTAAATATTCATAAAAGATTACCCGAAAAGGTATTTCTTTTAACTGATACATTTCCATGACAGCCAAAGACCCTATGGTTATAGACAAACAAATCTCGAACAATTTTTATCCTCTCCAATCACCTGTTTGTATTCAGTAATCGCGATACAAGCCGGTAGTTGTGGACCCTCTTGCCAATCCCAGCAAACATTCCGAGTAATATAAAAAAGCTGGAAACAAGGAAGGAAGCTGAGAAATATCTCGCAGGCATCCATAATGTTAATGGGTCATGGCTGTGTGAACACTCAATCTCCTTTCTCCCAAGGAGGAAAGCTGAGAAATATTTTCGCCGACATCCATAATGTTAAAGGGTCATGGCTGTCCGGAATCGCAGTCTTCTTTGTAAATAGGTATGTCTTTCTTAGACCGTTCATTGTCAGTTGAGCAGTCTGTCGTAGATACGTAAATAATAAAACAGTTTTCAGCCATTAGTCTTTGTTCTGTGATACAAAATAGAAAATCAAATTCAATAAGAAGAGCGTAAAGGGCCACCTGATATTTCACACTTCTAAGAAATTTATGAAAATATAATGTCACCTTTATCTTTGTCGCTCACTGAACCCTTCTATTCATTCAAAATTCAAATAACTGACTCCTTTTCAAGTCATTAGTTCGGGTCCATTGGGACTACACCACGTTATAAAGCACAGGTTCTGCATCAATCACAACATTCTACAAAATGATGTTTCTTGGCTTGGAGCTGGTGTTCCTTTTGTCAGCTGGTATACCTTATATTAGGATGTATGGTAATACTGAAGAATCACCAAACCACCCTACCCCGTACAATCTACAAGACACACTGGATCGTCAGTGTCGACTTCTGATAACTGAAAGCTGTAAACTTGGACCATGGATAATACAAATGTGCCAAGGCAATATGCCACACATACATGCAAAGAACAAAGAACGACCAAAGACAACAACACTTCCAAGAACGAAATGGACAGAAGAGGATAAACGATCGGTGTTCAATTCCTCTTCACTTCGGCAGGACACACATCACTTCACGACCCTTGACACTGCGGCCTCAAAAGGCAGCTCCATAAACTGCCAGTGTCAGGGTAACAATTGTTCAGAGCCAAAGTTCATGATTGTTTTGTTCAAAGGGCAATCTGTGTACTTCAAGGCGTATGATAGTTTGACAAACACATTTTATAAGTGGGCTTCGTTAACTATCCGTAAAGCTGACGCTCAAGCTGGAATGCAGGTGGACTCTTCTAGGTGTTACATCTATGTAGTGTTAAAGGAGAGATCAGATCTGTGGCAATTGGGGATAAAAAATGGACGAGTAGTTTCCAAAGGAAGAATTTATTCAGATGTTACAGCTTTTGCTCTTGATCGAAACAGGGACGAAATGTTTATTCTGACGCGTCGCCGTCATCAGTTCGAGTTGACAACAATGCCTCTACAGGAGCCAAAGAAACGAAAGACCCTAACTGCACATACCCTAGATCAGAAGGTTCCCATTATGTGGTGTGACGCAGACATCACGAGTGTGTACTGGTGGTGCCCTTCTGTGCTCTGCAGATACGACCACAGCACCAACAGAGTCACAACACTGGCTTTTGTCCGGTCTCGTAGACGCCATTTCATGGCAGTTGGCTCAGGGAAAGTATACTTCATGAACTTTGGCTTAAAAATATATGACGTAATCATCAATAAAGTCCACACAGTGAAGCAAATGTATGCCATGAAAATATATTCCTTCCTAGAAGTGACACAAGGAACTGTTATCTTTGCCCTTGAAATACGACAGCACATAAAAGTCATGTTATATAAGAAAGGACACCAAAAAACGACGTACATGAGAAAGGGTCTTAAAGGTTTAGATCACTTTGAGGTAACAGTTGGATAAGAAGCCTCGTATATTTTGGAATATTAACAATTGTACTGTGTTTTACAACCTCTTGATTTTAACTTCACAGACATAGTTGTCAGGTTTGATAAATGGCAAGTCATTCCAAAGCCCAAGCGTATGATGTGGTTTCTTGGATTGTTTTAAAACATTATTGTTTTCCAGAAAAATACTGGAACATCATTATGTCCTCAGGTTTTGCAAACATGCGAATTGGCTGTTGGATGCCCTTAACTGTGAAACTGTTGTGTTTTGTGTGTGTTGAACAAGTGTCTGAGTCAATATCCCGTCTCTAATCATATTGGTTAGAGGGATGGGAGAACAGAACGTAAGTAATAAAAAGCACCAAGCATCAAAGACCTGCATTATTGTCATCCCTATTAAGCTGACATGCCCTGTACAACTGAAATATTGTTCAAACCCACGTTAACTCACTCACCTACTGGCTTACCCTATCGTTACCCCAGAGTCACAAACTATTTATCATCCTTCGAGAATATTGTCACATACTGCTTTCTAAATGTGTAGTTCGATAGTTTCCAGCTGTGTGTGCCTCTTCCTGGCCACTTTGAGGAAAATAGAAAATAATATCTATATATGACGCCTTTGGCTAATATCTTCAAGTTAACTTAATAGCCAAGTGAAACCAGATGAGCTGAGGTGAGTTAAAATGGGGTCTAAGGTTGCCTTCAAGATTATTGCACTTATATAACGTGTGTGTGGCGACTTGTACAACTCGGGACTCTTAACATGTATATCCCACTGTGCCACATCTATAATTACAACGACTTGGGACGTCCTGTCCTGACTTCCACCCATGGCATACACAGTCGAACCTCGTTGTGTCGAACTTGGATATGTCGATTTCGCTGTTGTGTCGAACTCATTTCGGAGTTCCAAGTATTAAAAAAACACATGAAATGTCTGGAACCAAAGATTACTCGAACTTTATTCCAGGCTCGAACGATTTCGACACAACGAGGTTCGGCTGTTCTTATGTCCCTTCATCATCAGCAAAGAGACAAACACTCGGCCACTTCAGACGGACAGGTACATTATCGTAACTAAACACGGATGTAGTGATATGAAATATTTTATTAGAAATATATATTTGTGATATAAAGACGCTATATTGATGATGTATTGCCGATGTGAAGAGGTACATTGTGACTCTCATTCCTTTATGTATTTATGTGTTCAGTGTATGATCAAAACAAGACTTTCTCGTAACCTATCACGATTCTAAGACAACCTTTTTGATATGATCTGCTGCACATCGAGCACTGGATTTAAAATCTCTTTCCTCTTACATCGAGTGCTCGGATTCAACCATCAATACTTTGTCCACATGATCACATAGCTGAACATCTTTAGTAATGTAGCAAACAAAAAATGTTGGTGTCAATAAAATTTTGATCTTCTCCAAAAAGACATGCACCAATGTCTATGCACGACACGACGCCCCGTTGAGTGTAATTATATGAATATCGTTCATTTCACATGGATTTGATGCACAAGATGCTTAAAATGGCAGCATACATCAACAGCCAGGACTCTCTGTGGTTGCGTCCTGCTCCATTGACGGGGCACCGGGGCTTCTCCTCCAAATCGACCTCCTCTTTGTACTGCCAGTTCCCACACTTGGGGAAGTGTTTGGGGGGTCGGGGCATCTGGTTCAACTCCCCAACCTGCACGATGAGGCCCATCCCGATTGACTGATGGAAGTCAATGTGGCAGTGCATCAGCCAGAAACCTGATAATATTAAAAGCAAGAGTGAGTGAGTGTATGTTTAAGTGAGTGTTTAAGTGAGTGAGCGAGTGAGTCAGTCAGTCAGTCTTGTTTTAGGCCGAACTCAGCAATATTCCAGCTATATTACGGCAGTCTGTAAATAACCCTGTCTGGATCACACAAATCAGTGACTGACATCTTGAACATCGATCTACGCAAATGAGATACGATGACGTGCATCAACCAAGTCACCAAGCTTGATCACCCGATCCCGTTAGTCGCCTCTTACGACAAGCATAGTCGCCTTTTACGGCACGCCTGGGTTACTGAACACTTCCATAAACCTGGTATCACTATCCAGTATATATGTAAATGAGGGTGCTAAGCATGAACTATATTCAATACATCTAAATGATGCGATGGCAAATTTGTCAAAAACCTTTACATAACATTCCACAAAAGTCAATTTTTGAGTCCCGATTGATGAGAGCTCAAGTAAGCCAACGTCGCCGCAAGTCCCTCTGGCACGGTAAAAAAATTTGGACCCTACATAGCAAAAAACGAGTTCTGAACACTGAAGTGACATAAAAAGATATTTCAAATACATAGCTTATGCAAAATCGCTTGTAGGAACATATGTGGTTTGTCATTCAGGAATATTTCAGTTCTGTCTCGGCTGTTTGAAAATAAATCAGGTACTCAGAAACTAATCAGAACCCCTGTAATCTACATTTAATCTGAAGATCGTGTACCATCAACTCCCGTAATCCGCATTTATTCTGATGATCGTGTACCATCAACTCGCGTAATCCACATTTAGTCTGATGATCGTGTACCATCAACTCGCGTAATCCACATTTAGTCTGATGATCGTGTACCATCAACTCGCGTAATCCACATTTAGTCTGATGATCGTGTACCATCAACTCGCGTAATCCACATTTAGTCTGATGATCGTGTACCATCAACTCGCGTAATCCACATTTAGTCTGATGATCGTGTACCATCAACTCGCGTAATCCGCATTTAGTCTGATGATCGTGTACCATCAACTCGCGTAATCCACATTTAGTCTGGTGATCATGTACTACCAACTCGCGTAATCCACATTTAGTCTGATGATCATGTACTACCAACTCGCGTAATCCACATTTAGTCTGATGATCGTGTACTACCAACTCGCGTAATCCACATTTAGTCTGATGATCGTGTACCATCAACTCTCGTAATCCACATTTAGTCTGATGATCATGTACTACCAACTCGCGTAATCCACATTTAGTCTGGTGATCATGTACTACCAACTCGCGTAATCCACATTTAGTCTGATGATCATGTACTACCAACTCGCGTAATCCACATTTAGTCTGATGATCATGTACTACCAACTCGCGTAATCCACATTTAGTCTGATGATCGTGTACTACCAACTCGCGTAATCCACATTTAGTCTGGTGATCATGTACTACCAACTCGCGTAATCCACATTTAGTCTGATGATCATGTACTACCAACTCGCGTAATCCACATTTAGTCTGATGATCATGTACTACCAACTCGCGTAATCCACATTTAGTCTGATGATCGTGTACTACCAACTCGCGTAATCCACATTTAGTCTGATGATCGTGTACCATCAACTCGCGTAATCCGCATTTACTCTGATGATCGTGCACCACCATGAATCACATATTAAGATTTCAAACCTTCAGTCTGATCATGTGCATTTGTGTGTCTGTTTAACGCCGCACTCAGCAATTTTCCAGCTATATGAAGGCTGTCCGTAAATCGAGTCTGGACCAGACAATCCAGTGATTGATATCCTGAGTATCGGTCTACTCATTTATGATATGATGACATGCATCAACTTGCTCAGCGAGCCTGACCACCCGATCCCGTTAGTCGCCTCTTACGACAAGCAAAGTCGCCTTTCAATCATAGGGTTTTCATGGCAAAACATGATGATCGTGTCACCTACTCGGGTTATCATGTTGAATAGTGTTGTCAGGAAACATGCCTACGTAATCATCGTACAAAGTGATGACCTACCCGGGTTATCAGCATGAAACCTGATGATTGTGTAACCCCCATCAGCAACCGTGACAGTATCTTTAGCTATGGGTGTTTCTAGATTCCTCTCTATCAGACCAGCTTCATCCATCATTTTTATCTCTTCTAAAGAGGTTGATTGGTTGACCTGGTAAATAAGAACTTTTTACTAGGAGAGCATCGCAATGTTTGACAGTGAGAAACGTTTACAGTGTACTCGACGTTAAAAGTCAACGCTTTAACTAGGCTACTCAGACAATCTCATTTACAAATGGTGCAATGGATATGACTAGTAATAAGTGACGCCTCACCCTGTCCATCGCAACTACCCGGAAGTGATGGCCATGCAGATGTATCGGGTGGTTGGCGTTGAAGGTGACGCCCTCATCAATGAGCACCATCTCCACGGTGTCGTCCAGGTCGACCTTGATGACGTGGATACACTCACAGTATTGATGCGTGCAGTTCCTGGTGTTGTGGGGGCCGCAGAACATGTCCTGAGAGGAGAAGGTATCTGGTCATGCGTGTTTGAATATCTGCATAGCCTTTTGTTTCAATGTTGATCTCACTTACCGCCTCTGTGGTCTAGTGGTAGAGCGTCCGCCAAGAGAGCGGAAGTTCCGGGGTCCGATCCCCGGCCGCGTCAAACCAAAAGACGTTATAACATGGCACTTGTTGTTACCCTGCCTGGTGCTCGGTATGAAGGGGCTTAACGAGGACTGGTGGGTGTCTTAGTGGGGTATTTATGTTAAACTGTGGCATGGTATCTTAGTGCGAGAGCACTATAAGTTTGGCATTGGTCCGGACACGTGTAATCAGCCAATCTATCTCACACACACACACACACACACACACACACACACACACACACACACACACACACACACACACACACACACACACACACACACACACACACACGTGTATGGACGTAGTGAGTGAGTGAGTGAGTATGGTTTTACGCCGCTTTTAGCAATATTCCAGCAATATCACGGCGGGGGACACCAGAAATGGGCTTCACACATTGTACCCATGTCGGGAATCGAACCTGGGTCTTCGGCGTGACGAGCGAACGCTTTAACCACTAGGCTACCCGACCGCCCCTATGTATGCACGTAGCTACAAAGGGGGCAATAATCTTGAATGTGACGTCAAACCCCATTTCACCTAACATCCTTCTTAGCAGGAAAAACCACTACCAACACAATTGCACTGAAAAGGTTATGTTTTTGTTTGTCCTATTTCCAGATTATGTGCTTTTATTTCATTAATTAACAAAGTGACATATTTCTCTCTTTTTTGCCGGGGGCTGCTAGCGGCTATTGGGTATAAACAGCAGTATTTCAGCTGCATGTCGCCCCCTTGTCTTGGAATTTGTTCAATTACATTTCATCAGTTCATAAATTGCATGAAACCTCTGCATTTACAGCGTAAGTATGACCTCGTTTTACGGTTCGACGGTCGCGACGTTTGACCCCACTTCACCCGATGTTACTAACCCAGTACAGTACCCATCCATTCGTCAAATGCGAGTAATTTAGTAAGTATTGTATTCCATTTTGTTCCTTAATAGATCTCAACATCCTGACTAGATATCGGTTTATTATGATGCCATCTTTGACGAATATCGTCAGAATGTAAAAGGAAGTTAAAACTAGTTTCCATGACTGGTTGGTATCAATTATGACTTTGTTGATTGCCCATTTGTCATAGACAAAAAAGAGGTACAATGATTGTTATGTTGGTACAAGAAACAGCTGAACTTGTTTCTAAACATCTCAGCTGAACCATCATGTTTACACACAAATTGCCTCCGATTCACAGATGGCAGAAAACGTTGTTGGCGACGGAGCGGCGAGCGGTATGCCAGGGCAACCATTCTTGACCATGATCGATATTGGGGCGGTAGTGTCATGGTGTAGGGCGGTATATATCACACATGGAAGGCGACTAATTTGGTTGTTGTGAATGGACATTTGACTGGCCAGCAATATGTTGACGAAATTGGAACTGCAAGATGACATTGCTAGACCACATCGTGCCCGACGAGAAGGCACATGAACATTGGACTGGGCCGCTATTTCCCCAATAGATAATCTGAGAGATGTTCTCGGGCGGAGAGTGTACGCCAGAGACCTAGCTAGTAGTCAAGCTTTGGATAGCTCTTCAGGCGGATGACGGCCAATACCATGGCCAATCATACGACAGTTAATCAACAGTATGCCGCCAAGGTGTCGTGCATGTATCACCCAACATGGTGGACACAACAGATATTGATCTCCACGCCCGAAATAAATTGTGAAGACATATATGGTCATTACACCTTCAAAATCATTTAATCAGTTCCCTTATTATATCTAAGAGGATGTGCGTGCATATTAGTTGATTACTCCCGCCACAAAGAGCGCCGAGGTTATAGAGAGGGGGATGTAAATCGGTTGCAAGATAAATGGAAAACGGTTATAACGAATTAAGTTATAATTTATATAATTAACAAAATACATTTCTCTAATCTTCCATATTGTGGAGGTTACATTTCTCAGGACAGCAACATATGTTCCACTGATATATATCATGACGCTTCATCAAGCTGTTGTTGTTTTTTTGTTGTTGTTTTTTTTTTGGGGGGGGGTCGGGTAGCCTAATGGTTAAAGTGTTCGATGGTCACGCCGAAGACCCAGGTTCGATTACCGACACGGGTACAATGAAGCCCCCCGCCGTGATACTGCTGGAATATTGCTAAAAGCGGCGTAAAACCATTCTCACTCACTCACTCACTGTTTTGGGGGTAAGGTTAACTCCGGTTAACACATGCTTGTTTGAACTCACCTTGGGAATATCATCATACGGAGACAACGGGGGTGACGGAGGTGCAATGTTGGTGATGTGGTTCATCTGTGGCAAATATAGTCTCTTGTTCCGGTTGACGGCAGCCAAGGGGTATAACTCTTCGTGATTGAAAACGTAGTTGTCTACCTTGTTGAAGTCCATTGCAAAGTAGAACTTCTTATCGGGCACCTGTTTCATGTGAAGGGGGTCTGCCAGGGTGGTGTTCAGCCACGACACGGGGGTCAGGTCAGGGGTGCCCTTCTTGTTCCAGGGGTTCAAAAGCTTTAACAAGGATTAGTTAGTGTTACAACACACAAGCTGCCCGACAAAAGACAGTACACATTTGAAAACTACCAAAATATTACAAACGCTATCAAAAGGTTGATGTCTGAAAACAGACACAGCAAACTAAAGGTCCAAAACACAACTATGATACCCGTATCAAAATACATCAGCATCTAATAAGAAATGACTGTGGGTGTGCTATTAGGTAAAGATATATAGATACGCATCTGGAAACGTGCCACAGAGATTGGCAAATGAGGAATGTAAAACATGACTCTGACGGATTGTTATGACCTTGTGAAGCCAACTCTCTTAGTCTGTAGGTCTACCTGGCTGGGTCACCTGTCATGCATATCACCTCCATGCTTAACTTCCCTCCCTCCGCCCCCTCTCATAGTCTGTCGATCCACTGGGCTGGGTCACCTGTCATGCATATCACGTTCATGCTTAACTTCCCTCCCTCCGAGGGTGGTCTGGTAGCCTAGTGGTTAAAGCGTTCGCTCGTCACGCCGAAGACCCGGGTTCGATTCCCGACATGGGTAAAATGTGTGAAGCCCATTTCTGGTGTCCCCCGCCGTGATGTTGCTGGAATATTGCTAAAAGCGGCGTTAAACCATACTCACTCACTCCCTCCCTCCGCCCCCTCTCTTAGTCTGTAGGTCCACTAGGCTGTGTTTCCTGTCATGCAAATCACCTCCATCCTTACCTTCCCTCCCTCCGCCCACTCTCATAGTCTGTAGGTCCACTAGGCTGTGTCTAATGTCGTGTATATCACGTCCATGCTTACCTTCCCTCTGCCTACTCACCTCGTATGCAGGTCCACTTGGCTGTGTCTAATGTCGTGTATATCACGTCCATGCTTGCCTTCCCTCTGCCTACTCACTTCGTATGTAGGCCCACAAGGTTGTGTTTCCTGTCGTGTATATCACCTTCATGCTTACCTTCCATCTGCCTACTCACTTCCTATGTAGGTCCACTTGGCTGTGTCTAATGTCGTGTATATCACGTCCATACTTACCTTCCCTCTGCCTACTCACTTCGTATGTAGGCCCTCAAGGTTGTGTTTCCTGTCATGTATATCACCTCCATGCTTACCTTCCCTCTGCCTACTCACTTCCTATGTAGGTCCACTTGGCTGTGTCTAATGTCGTGTACATAACCTCCATGCCTACCTTCCCTCTGCCTACTCACTTCGTATGTAGGTCCACTTGGCTGTGTCTAATGTCATGTATATCACCTCCATGCCTGTTACAGGTGACCGAGATTGACCACCCGATGTTCAAGTCGCCTCTTACGGGTGACCGAGATTTTAACCCGATCTATAGTGTGGCCTCTTACAGGTGAGCGAGACTGACCATCCGATCCTCGCCTCTTACAGCTGACCGAGACTGACCACCCGACCCACGCCTCTTACAGGTAACCGAGACTGACCAACCGATCCACGTCTCTTAGAGGTAAGCGAGACTGACCACCCGATCCACGCCTCTTATTGGTGACCGAGACTGACCAACCGATCCACGCCTCTTAAAGGTATTCGAGACTGGCCGACCGAGCTGATCAGTCTCCTCTGACGACAAAAATAAATTTCTGGCCAGGGGTCCTATTCTAGCCCTATATTTCGTAACTACTTCCCTTCTCAACCCCAACTGCCATATTTATTCTGATACATCATACAGCGATGGCTGTTCTCTTGTTCTATAGTGTCTGTATCATTATCGCCGCTCGTACAAGGCATTACTAAAAACACGGTCGCTTTTGTTTGTAAATTAACGATCTCTACTGTCTTATCGTGTCTACATCAAAGGACGCACGGAATCCAATTGCCTGATTTTAAACGACATATGTTTGTTTTTTAAATGTCCACCTATAGGGTTGGAGAAACATGAAAGACATTGATTAAGTTTAATGCTTCTTTTGATATAAAAAAATAGGTAACTTTAATTAAATACCATGATAGATTACGAGTTTACGATGTTTTTGTATTTAACTGTGAAATAGGTTTGTAGTAGGTTGATCAAAGTCATTAGGAATGATTTATATTTCGTGAAATGTGATTTTTTATTGTTTCTACTTGACCCATTCCCAATCAAACCTCGGATGTTTCTGGTTGAAATCAATAATTTATAGATGAGTGAAAATAATTATGTATTTTTTATTTCAATTTCACAAATACTCTTACCGACATTGACATGAAGAGTGTGTCAATGTGGCCATTCAAAGTCAAATTTCGGAAGGCAAACTTTTTACAGAACAGAACAAAAACAAGAACAAAAACATTAAAGTTAAACAATAAATTGTCGGTAGGTAAAACAATACAAGACCTCATCTAACAACTGAACATCTGAATCATATTGATATATTGTTCGTTGTTTACGTGTTGTTTTACGCCGTACTCAACAATATTCCTTCCAGAGGAAGGCGGCCTGTAATGATGGGAATGATCCGTCGGTGCCAACCATATGACTGACCACCCGATCCATGATGCTATCTTAATGACAAGCAGTATCATTTAATTTTTTTTTTGATTGTTGTTTAACGCCGCACTCAGCAACATTCCAGCTATATGACGGCGGTCTGTAAATAATCGAGTCTGGACCAGACAATCCAGGGGTTGACATCATGAGCATCGTACCACGCAATTGGGATCGATGACATGCATCAACCAAGTCAGCGAGCCTGACCACCCGATCCCGTTAGTCGCCTCTTACGACAAGCATAGTCGCTTTTTACGACAAGCATGGGTTGCTGAAGATCTATCCTACCCCGGATCTTCACGGGTTTCATTTCAAATTGGTGCCTCTGAACCAAGTTGCTGAGAGCTGGGGAATGTGTATTGCTTCTGTCATCGTGTGGGTAACAAATTTATTTTAAATGAAATAGAGCTTCTCGTGTATGGTTCTCGTGGATTTGCGCTATGGAGTTATTGAGGGCGAGTTCATCAACAAGCCGAGAATATACACATGATTGTAGCCTGTTCCAAATGAATCAATAAATTTTATATATATCTCAGATGTTTACCACTTTGATGAAACCCATGAACACGAGTGTGGTTCTGGCAAACCTAGACACATTATCGGGGCGAACCGGGATTCGAACCCACAATCATAGGTTTCTTGCGTGCCCAAGGAATGCAATACTGTGTGAGCATCAAGGAGCAGGTCTAAGGGTTTGTTTTTCTCTTCAGATATCATTGTCCACTCCACGCCTGTGGGGACACGGGTGGCCCAGTCGTCTAAGGCGCCGCGATTCGCTGTGCAGAGTTGCGTCCCTTGGGCACGCCAGAAACCTATGATTGTGGGTTCGAATCCCGGTTCGCCCTGATTATGTTTCTAGGTTTGTCAGCACCATACCCGTGCTCGTGGGTTTCACCGAAGTGGTAAACGTCTGAGACCTGCATCACTTCGAGCTTTCCTCCCACATTAAGCTGACACGCCGGGATATTACTGGAATACTGTTAAAAGCGGCGTTAAACCAAACTCACTCACTCGCTGACGCCTGTACATGAACATACAACTGCAACGCAAGAGCGATGAGAGCGATGAATCAGACTCTCTTACAACAAAGTTCTGTTCACATATCACACATCACTTGTTCGAACAAGACACCTCATTCAGTCCGTCATGAACATTTGTAATACTCTTTACAATTATATTCTTAATGAACTCGGTGCCGATACTGTCTTAACGTTAGTCTCTCGTTTCTGAGAAAAGAAATCCGTAACAGCGACAACGTCATCGGACTGGTTCACTTGCCAAAGATTTTAAGTGATTATGTTTGTGTGCCGCCGATGCATTGTGATTTTATGAGCGCTTCCATATATATGGCCTTTTTTTCAAAATATTAGTTGTTATTGTCTTTAATGCATACCAATGAAAACCTTGACAGTGAAATCAATCTGCCAGATGATATCCAGTCTCAGTTATCTGCCGAAGAAGATTCCACTGGGCATAAAACTGAAAGTAGTGATAATAGTTATATGAATGGATGACTAAAATCAGAAATTCAACTCATTGAAAACAGTCAAGGCAAATTTTGATAGGTCCCTACTATTTCATACGTGTTTCGATGATTCGCCAACCCTGAACAGATATAGAACAAAATTATCATTTTGAGTCTGTTATGAAGAAATACCCTTCAGAGTATACAAAACGGCCAAATAATTTAAAAATATTTTGAAAAGTATTTCGTAACTATTCATTAAATATCACTCTAAAAAGTTTTTCTTTTTACTGATGCATTTTCATGACAGCCAAAGACCCTATGGTTATTGAAGACAAACAAACATCGAAACGTTTTTATTCTTTCCAATCACCTGTTTGTATTCAGTAATCGCGATACAAGCCGGTAGTTGTGGACCCTCTTGCCAATCCCAGCAACAATTCCGATTCATATAAAAATGCTGGAAACAAAGGAAGGAAGCTGAGAAACATCTCGTAGACATCCATAATGTTAATGGGTCATGGCTGTGTGGACACTCAGTCTCCTTTCTCCCAAGGAAGAAAGCTGAGAATTATTTTCGCCGACATCCATAATGTTAAAGGGTCATGACTGTCTGGAATCGCAGTCCTCTTTTTAAATAGATATGCGTTTCTCAGACCGTTCATTGTCAGTTGAGCAGCCTGTCGTAGATACGTAAATAATAGAACGGTTTTCAGCTATTGTTTTTTGTTCTGTGATACAAAATAGAAAATCAAATTCTATAAGGAGAGCGTAAACTGCCACCTGATATTTCACACTTCTAAGACATTTATGAAAATATAATGTCACCTTTAACATTGTCGCTGACTGAACCCTTCTATCCATTCAAAATTAAAATTACTGACTCTTTTTCAGGTCATTAGTTCGAGTTCATTGGGACTACACCACGTTATAAAGCACAGGTTCTGTATCAATCTCAACATTGAACAAAATGATGTTTCTTGGCTTGGAGCTGGTGTTCCTTTTGTCAGCTGGTATTCCTTATATTAGGATGTATGGTAATACTGAAGACTCACCAAACCAACCTACCCCACACAATCTACAAGACACACTGGATCGTCAGTGTCGACTAATGAGAACTGAAAGCTGTAAGCATGGACCATGGATACTACAAATTTGCCAACGCAATGCGTCACACGTACATCTAAAGAACAAAGAACGACCAAAGACAACAACACTCCCAAGAACGAAATGGACAGAAGAGGATAAACGATCGGTGTTCAATTCCTCTTCACTTCGGCAGGACATACTTCAATCAACGACCCTTGACACTGCGGCCTCAAATGGCAGCTCCATAAACTGCCAGTGTCAGGGTAACAATTGTTCAGAGCCAAAGTTCATGATTGTTTTGTTCAAAGGGCGGTCTGTGTACTTCAAGGCGTATGATAGTTCGAAAAACACGTTTTATAAGTGGGCTTCGTTAACTATCCGTATTGCTGACGCTCGAGCTAGAATGCAGGTGGATTATTCTAGGTGTTACATCTATGTAGTGTTAAAGGGGAGATCAGTTTTGTTGCAATATGGAATAAGAAATGGACGAGCAGTTTCCAAAAGAAGAATTTGTTCAGATGTTACAGCTTTCGCTCTTGATCGAATCAGGAACGACTTGTTTATTCTGAAGCGCCGCCGTCATCAGTTCGAGTTGATAACAGTGCCTCTACAGGAGCCAAAGAAACGAATGACAATACCAGCACAGACCCTAGATCAGAGGGTTCCCATTTTGTGGTGTGACGCAGACATCACGAGTGTGTACTGGTGGTGCCCTTCTGTGCTCTGCAGATACGACCACAGCACGAACAGAGTCACAACACTGGATTTTGTCCGGTCTCATAGACATCATGTCATGGCAGTTGGCTCAGGGAAAGTATACTTCATGAACAATGGCTTACAAATATATGACATAATCATCAATAAAGTCCACAGAGTGAAGCAAATGTATGCCATGAAAAGATATTCCTTCCTAGACGTGACACAAGGAACTGTTATCTTTACCCGTGAAATACACCAGCACATAAAAGTCATGTTATATAAGAAAGGACACCGTAAAATGATGCATATGAGAAAGGGTCTTAAAGGTTTAGATCACTTTGAGGTAACAGTTGGATAAGAAGCCTCGTATATTTTAGAACATTAACAATTATACTGTGTTTTAAAACCACCTGATTTTAACTCCACAGACATAGTTGTCAGGTTTGATAAATGGCAAGTCATCCCAAAGCCCAAGCGTATGATGTGCTTGCTTGGATTGTTTTAAAACATTATTGTTTTCCAGAAAAATACTGGAACATCATTATGTCCTCAGGCTTTGCAAAAATGCGAATTGTCTGCTGGACATTCTGAATGTCCTTAACTGTGAAACTGTTGTATTTTGTGTGTGTTGAACCAGTGTCTGAGTAAATATCCCGTCTCTAATCATATTGGTTAGAGGGATGGGAGAACAGAACCTAAGTAATAAAAAGCTTTAAACGCCAACGACCTGCATTATTGTCATCCTTATTAAGCTGACATGCCCTGTATAACTGAAATATTGTTCAAACCCACGTCAACTCACTCACTCACTCACTCGCTTACGCTTTCCTTGCTCCAGAGTCACAAACTATGTATAATCCTTTGAGAATATTGTAACATACTGCTTCCTAAATGTGTAGTTCCATAGTTTCCAGCTGTGTGTGCCTCTTCCAGGCCACCTTGTGAAAAATGGAAACTATTTTCTATATATGACGCCTTTGGCTACTGTCTAATATCTACAGGTTAACTTAATAGCGAAGTGAAATCAGATGAACTGAGGTGAGTTGAAATGGGGTTAAAGGTTGCCTTCAAGATTATTGCACTTATATAATATGGGTGTGTTGCGGCTTGTACTACTCCGGACTCATGCGGCAGCTTAATATGTATATCCCACTGTGTCATATCTCTAATTTACACCGACTCGGGACGTCCTGTCCTGGACTAACACCATGGCATATACAATTGAACCTCGTTGTGTCGAACTTGGATATGTCGAATTCGCTGTTGTGTCAAACTCATTTCGGAGTCCTCAGAATTAAAATATATCATATAATTCCCCTGATGTCTGGAACGAAAGATAACCCGAACTTTATTCCAGGTCCCAACGATTTCGACACACCGAGGTTCGTCTGTTTTTATGTCCCTTCACCATCAGCAAAGAGACAAACACTCGGCCTCTTCAGACTCACATGTTCAATATCGTAATTAAATACGGATGGAGTGATATAAACTATTTTATTAGAAATAATTATTTGTGATAAAAAGACGCCATGTTGATGATTAAATCTGGTTGGAATATAGTACTTCGAATAATGTCTCACATACCCTTTCGGGGCTTTTTAACAACAAACAAACAATTTATTTATTGCCTCATTAAATGGAGATCTAAACAAACAGAAGGAACTGGAGTTTGTCAGGGAAACATATTTCAACTCCAAACAGCAATGCGTAAAACATACAAAGGAATATACAACGAGGGTAGTTCGTGGCTTCACATAAACCATAAATATTAGTCACACATCAGTAAAACCTCCTTTGAATTTCAGCCATGCACCAGCTTTGTAATCGCTGCCCTGTAGCTGGCGTAGACAGGCAGTCAACACGTCTTAACTGGAAACAACTCTACAGAAGTGATTTGAGTTTTGGGAAGAAATGCTGGGGGCATTCATAAGTAATTCAAATCTACAACTGCACCTCCTGCCTTGCGTAACGTGTGCATTCACACTGGCTAATAGATCATATATTGATAAGTAAGGAGCGTTGAAACATCTGATCTGATCACTCATTATCATTTATTCTGTTATTTTGATTACGTCACACAATGTTACATTCAATGTTGCATATTATAAAAAAGCTCATTGTCCATATCTCTAAAACTCGATGTTAAAAAGAAAGTACTTGAATAACGATACTGATAAAACATGTACTTGTTGTTCATATTTAATGCTTTTTCTCTCCATGTCAGATGACACTTTCCTTGAAGACAAAACTCCTAACATAAAAACTGTTATACCAAATAACACTTCATATAACATTAGGCGCCACAACTACACTGTGAATTGCAGATGAAAAGAGTAAAAGCAAACGGAATGAAAGTTGTGGAGCATCGGTCTTTCACTTTGGAATTTCATCAATGGCGAATGTATCAGTCAAAGTAAACATTTACAGTAAACTACATTTATAACGAACAGGTTTATAACAAACTGATGGATACAACAAACTTGTCTTTTCGGTCCCGGCCATTTGTTGTATATACGTTGCATATATGCTTAAAACGAAGGAAGGTTATAACGAACTAAAATTAGCGGTTCCTTTGAGTTCTTTATAACCGTAGTTTACTGTACCAATATTGAGGTGATCAATCGGCATGTGATATTTGTAATTTTCTGTCTTAACCAGACCAACAAAATATGGCAGAGTCGTGTGGCCATACCTCATAGGTCCAACATCAAAGAAAGTTAAAGGTTTGCATCCATGTGGATATTAGTGAGTGAGTGAGTGAGTTGGGTTTGACGCCGCTTTTAACAGTATTCCAGTTATATCACAGCGTGTCAGCTTAATGTTGGAGGAAAGCCCGAAGGGATGCAGGTCTCAGACGTTTACCACTTCGGTGAAACCCACGAGCACGGGTATGGTGCTGACAAACCTAGAAACATATTTGGGTTGAACCGGGATTCGAACCCACAATCATAGGTTTCTGACGTGTCCAAGGGACGCAACTCTGCACAGCGAAACGCGGCGCCTCAGGCGACTGGGTCACCCGTGCCCCCCGAGGATATTAGATGCTTATTACCCGGAGTTACAAGAATTTCAAACTCGTTGTCTATCAGGTCCTCACATGCATTATTAATACTTAATCTTTTTACACAATCTCAAATAATTATGATATCCTGATATACTAGTATTAAATGCTGCACTGATCTATCTGAAAAAAACTTTCCTTGAACCTCTTCTAAATAGCTTAAAGTTTTAAAGATTTATGTCACTGTACAATACAACTGAAATCTACTTCTGACAGACAAAGTGTATCTCATGCTCATCTGTGTGACTCACAGACTCGTTGATGATGGTGAAACCGGCTTTAGCAACCATCTCTCTTGCCAAAGATGCACCCCATGTAGCCCCAAGTGCTGCAGAGTCAGGCCTGCGCAAGCTTTCCGGAATACACAAGAATGTGCTCGCCGAGTAGTAGAACATAGCTGAAGCATTAGCAATGTTGCCAGTTATGCCTCCCTCTATTCCAACCTCAATCATGCTGAAAATACCCCCTGGTTTCAGACACTGGTAAATCTCGTTTAAGGCTTTCTGTGGATATGTTAAGTCATGAATAACTAGACGGGTAAGTATCCAATCAAAACTCTCCTTGTAGCTTTCAGATATAGTTTCAATATTGTCTGTGTCATAAGTGACATTCTGAAGGCCCTGGTTGCTTGCTTCCTCTCTGGCTTGAACCAATGGCACGCTTGCTACATCAGAACCAAGGAAGGTGCTGTTCTTGAATCGCGAAGCTAATTTGTTTAAAATTATCCCAGTTGCACAACCAAATTCCGCAACCTTGATTCCGGATTCTGTATTAAAAAACAAACAAGTTAAGTAAGACATAAGACAGAAACCTTGAAATACTTCAGAATTAGCACTCAAAAGTAAAATATCAAACACAATTCCTACCATCAACATATAGTCGAGTTGTATCAATATTAAATCATGTTAAGTTAAAACATATCAGTGCGATATGCCTTCATTTGGTTTCCCTTGTAAAGTACATAGTTAGAAGATAGGTACGTGGCACAAAAGCATATAACCTTTGAGCTCTTATAAATTTATTAATAAACTATTGCATAATTGTGATCAAAATTGGTCGTTAACGCGGGAATTGTTGTATTGTGCGCCTACTCGTCTATTCGTTTACCCACCTAACTTTGGCAGCAACAGAGGAATGGCAGACAGGATATCTGTATCAATCATATCTTTCTTGACTACGACCAAAATGTCTGTCAATGTTTCAAAAAGCCCAGGGGTTTGACTGTAGACTATTCCTGTAAATATAAGAAAACCATACCAACGCCAACGCAACTGAGAGAAAGCGTCAGGTACACAAGATCACTTCGTTATACAAAAACATGCGTAGAGATAAAAGCTGAAAGTATGTATGAATTTGCACAGTTTATCAAATAGGGATGATACCAAGTGTTCGCGAAAATTTGAGTGTATCCTCCCCTACCAGTGGCACCCATCACAAACACATGCAAAGGCAAATGAATTGTTCACCTGACCCCTGAAGATCCGGGGTAAAATAGGTATTCAGCAACCCATGCTTGCCGTAAGAGGCGACTAACGGGATCGGGTGGTCAGGCTCGCTGACTTGGTTGATGCATGTCATCGTATCCCAATTGCGTGGCTCGATGCTCATTATATCAATCACTGAATTGTCTGGTCCACACTCGATTATTGAGACATTTGAGATACAAAGGTAACTGAAACTGTACATTTGACATCCTTTATTTGACAAGGAAATGGGGACACAGAAATGAACCTTATAAGTCATATACCATCTTTGTATCTGCGTCACATCCTTTAAGGTGTGATTAAACATTGTTTAATGAATTGTATTGAATTGAATAAGGAAGATCATGCATAGATGGACAATATGTCAATGAGTGAAACTTGGTTATTTGTTCCTGATAAAGGACTAGATATTATTATTTTGTCATATTATTGATTCTAAGAGTACCTTTTCTAACAACAGTTACCATTGTTTCATAAAGTTGAATCACTTTCTACATGATGATTAACTTATGATCAACTTCAAAGCATAAATACCCCTGTTTTTCATGATCAATACCATATCGGATTCCTCATTGGAAGAACTGATAATACTTATGTTCCAGACGTGTGTGTCAATTGAAAACTCTACTTGAACGTAACTGTGTTTCTGCATGTTCACTCTCAACAGGATTACAACTCATGTCGAGAAATAGGAATGTAAATAAGTGTCTGAGTATTATATTGATGAAATCCATGTGAATGTACAATGTCCTTACCACCAGTGTTCCGTTGTTGAGCACAGTCCTTGATACTGGCATGTCTCAAACCAAACTGTGGCAAAAATCTGGAAAACACGGATATTGCATTGAATGTGGCCTTGCGGTCATCTGGAACATGGAACTGGGTGGACGAGTCGTCCACGCTGATGACCTCCCCGACAGCGAGTGAACCAAGTATCTCACGCACATACCTGTGGAAATATAATATAATTATAATTAAAACATTTATTTATCAAAAACTTGTTCAAAGCTCATAATGATACGAGGGCTGGTCAAAACGTTCTACGCCTGACTAACTTGCAACTATGGGCCATAACAAAGTGAACTAGTCGAGATAGAACATTATTTGAGTATTGAAACTAGTATTCACAAACATTTACAGACGAATAAGATATCTGCTCGTTGGGTACCAAAAGGTTTCTAAATTCTGATCTAAAGGAAAAGGAACTGACATTGACAGAGAAAATTAAAAGCTAATTGGGGAGGGTTTCGTCAAATTCCAAAAGATTAGTAACGGGGGATGAAACATATGTCTACCACTATGATGGCGCCATTCCACTTCTCTGGCACCAAAGAAATTCAAGTCTTCATGATCAGTGAAGAAAGTTATGGCCACTGTATTCTGAGATGCACAGGGTGTGATCCTTGTTAATTACCTTAGAAAGTCAAAAGACGATTACCGGTGGTCACTATGCTGATTTGCATTTATCGCCTGAGAGATTCTGTCAAAAAAAAGCAGTGAGGAATACTGACTGCTGGAGTTCTACTACTTCATGACAATGCATGCCTCTTCTTACACCTCTCGACTTGCAAAGGCTTCTGTGCGACAGGATGGTTTCGAAGAACCTTCTCATCCTCCATACTCGCCAACCTGGCACCAATGATTTCTAATCTATGACGACAACAACGACCGCAAAGCTGTCGTGAATCGGTTTCTTTAGGGTGGTTTCAGAAAACATCTTCCTGACTGGAATTAAAAAGCTTCACTATCGATTTGAGAAGTCTTTTGAAAACCTGGGAGATTATGTTGAAAAACACAATTAACCAAATCTCCTCACAATTATTGCTTTTGTTTGTTAGGCTTACAACTTTTTGACCAGCCCACGTATATAACTCTTACAATATAAACTCAATCGAGTGGACGGTCCCCATTGGTATGGAGCAATGTCACTTTGTTTGTAGGAGAAGTTCTGGGCAGTATTCAGGTTCTTAAACTTTCAGGGTCCCGGACGTAAATGGCGGCATAACAGAATATGTATGAGATGCCCTCCGCGTCTCCCCCCCCCCCCCCTCCTTATCAATCTATGCCTGCTATGTCTATCTACAGAATATGTATGAGATGGGTCCCCTCTATCAATCTATGTCTATCAATGTTCTTACCAGTTCTTCATCATGAAACGGTATTTACCTTTCTCTGAGGTTCAGCTTGTCAGCCACCTGCTGTGATGTGAGAGGGACTTTGGCTTCCATCAACATCTTCACCACGCCCAACTCCCTTGCCAGGGACAAGCTTAACATGACACCACCGGCGCCGAAATAGTTCATCATCTTCTTGTGGTAGTCCGACATCGTCTCAAGTGTAGTAGTACTTGAGTTTAGCCTGCCAGCAAGTGTAACTAGAACAATTCCCACACTAAACCTATCACAAAATAGGCCAGTTACAGCAATGTGATATTTTATTGTAAGTTTGTGAAGCATTTTTAATGTCAAATTTCGCTTTCAAATCTGTCGTAAGCTGTTCTTACAGTTAAGATCTCGCAGCGTCTCGCAACAAACATCTCCGCACACAAACACGCTTCCTTTCGCACTCACGAACAGTTCAGTCTTTGCTTCACACAACGTTTTAGCTGAGGGGACTATTTGACCTACTCCTCTTTGATATCCACAAAGACACAATAAGAAAACTGTCGTTTCTGTCAAGCCTGTGGTTTATCTCACAATGGTTTGCTAGCCATACTTCACAGACATTCTGTTCACTTCTCTAACGCTCACCTGAATTTCTGTCAAATGTAGGTTCACTGTTAAATCTTCCACTAACACAGCACCAGCACACGTCTGTGTGCTACTTGACGCTCTCTATTTAGGTCAAGTGGGTCAAGTCTCCCAGGCGATGTGTGTTTTCTGCTGTTAAGTAATAAGAAAACCACTTGTAAATCTATCGTTGACATAAGGTTTCATTAAAAAAATATTCAGTATATACACGCATTAGTGAAAATTAACTTTGATAGGTGTTTTGTTGTTGAGATTTAACCATCTTGCAGCTGTCTGTTATAGTTTTCGTATTCACTCACATGAAATCAAGACGAAAATAGATTTAAGTACCGAAATAATGAATGTTTTTTCATTAAATATTTTGTTTACCTCAATGCACAATAAGAGTGAAAGTATTGTTTTAAGAATAGCAACAAATAACACTAAACTGTGCCCAAACAAGTCCATGGTCAACCAGTGTTTGGGGCTCAGGGACGTCTGCTACATAAAATTGGGATATTTCTTAAAAACTTTTAATGAACGTCTTGGTCTTCATTACACGATGGCCTCCGAAGATTAGTATTTCGAGTTATATCCCGTTACTTTCTTGACAACTTATGTCATAGCAGTTCATTCTGTGTGCACCTTTTTATATACTAGTACCTACATTACCCTTCGCTGAATACCTCTGCCCCGTACTCCCACCCCCTGTCATAAATGGCCGGGCCCTTAGCTGCAACGAGAGGTCATACCCAATACCCTAAAGTCAAATACCCCGATTAAGACTCGCTAAGTTTCAGTGAAAGTCCTTGACATCCAGTCCCAACGATTTTTTTCAGTGCTTGTGGCATGCCGATATTTAATGCTAAAGTACAGCCGCCCACCAACTGTAATCTTGGGGTGATTACCCACACATCGCAGATACAGGGTGCAACCGGTGTAAAATGATAAGGGTTAATGGGGGAGCTATGAAGTTGAACCAATGAACCAATTATTGGTTGGAGTGAGCTGTTCACACCGCACCTGTTAGGAGGGCCGACCCTTCATGACCTTATTACTACACTACTGCCCAAAAGTTCATTCCCCTTACACGCATGGGTAATGCGTGACGCAACCCGTGTGCACCGCGTTGGTCACTCGTACAGAACCTGTCCGCTTCGCGGCTGACACCCGTGTGCGACGCGTTGAACACTGGTGTGCACCCCCTTCGCCACCCGTGTGCAACGCGTGACACTCTCATTTCATAAGGCACAAACGTTTGACTAAAGGAGGACCCATGTTAAGTTGAAACTAGAATTAGTAACAAGTAGAACATTTTTTTATATCCTGACGAAAAATGTTCAGACACATTTTATGATATATACTTGCTGGTGTCTCCTTTTTAGATGTGATTTTGTAGGAAAATATGAGTAGCGTTGTGATCAATCAGTTCTTATCTATAAGACCATTGGCTTCTTCATGATCGTTTGCTTTTGTGAGAACGAATGATCCTGGAAAATTTGTCATTATCATATATTGAAAAGTTTGTGTGATTTGATATTAAATGTCTGTAGTGCGACTTCCAGTGATTATATTTATGAGGTTTGGCGGAGCATTGTTTTCATTGGACACTAATCACCTTGTGATGGCTGGGTCTCCTTGTCTCAGCTCAGTAGCCGTGAGAAAGTGCAGCAGTTACTTATTGAGAGTAGGTTATATCATGGAGGATACATTTGAGGGAGAGGGTTCTACTATTGCCTTGCCGCAGGAAGAGACTAGCAGATGTGCGCGCGTGGTTGTGAATAAGGTAACTGTGGCGTAGTGGCCACCGACAGAGGTATAAATAGAGGTAAAATATGAAAGTATAATACTTACCCGACCTGCATTTACTTATCTCTCTGTCGTTATCAATGTTAACACCTGTCTGTTTTAAAGTGTATGTACGTATACTAGAACATCGTACTGATTACGGAATGGTACATCATCTTAACACATTTACTATTATGTGCTGCATATACCACGATATTTTGATTTTGTAGTCAAAAAGAATTGTTACCCCGATTATTACTGTATGATGGTTCACTCCTGTTCAGACGTGACATTCTGACAATTAGGTCATGTGTAATAGTCATCACAATCTCACCGGTTGTGGAGAAGTCTTGCGATAGTTGAGACTGATAGGCTGAGATATAAAGCAACTTATTTTCACATAGACGCTAACGCTTGCCATTTCATAATCCATTATCTTGGTGTTGTGGTATAACTATTGTATTGACAAGACCGCTTGTGTGGTGTGGTGTTTGTTTATTTGTTGTTTAACGCCGCACTCAGCAGTATTCCAGCTGTATGACGGCGATCTGTAAATAATTGAGTCTGGACCACACAATCCAGTGATTGACATTTTGAGCATCGATCCACGCAATTTGCATACGATGACATGCATGAACCAGGTCAGCGAGCTTGACCACCTGATCCTGTTTGTCGCCTCTTACGACAAGCATAGTCGCCTTTTACGGCAAGCATAGGTTGCTCTGTTCTACACTGGAATCTTCACGGGTCTGATATTGGATAAAGAATGAGTTAAAATTTAACGTTGCATCGTCATAAATACATCTATATAGCGGTTAGAACAAGTTGATATACTATACAACTGAGTCATGAATACAAAGAGATATTTGAATACAGATTTGTCAAACATGTCATGACAATAATATTTACAACTGTTTACAACAAGGACCATAAGCTTCCTGCACAATATCCCAGCAGGATTTACGTCATCACCTTTAGCTACTTGTGGTTGTACTCAATTCTAGCCAATTCTAAAAAGTACTCAACAATTAGTTGGCTGGTTGATGAGCGCTATGTTATGATAGGAATAAGGGGGCAATACGTTTACAGTACTTTAACCTCCTTGACAGAGCTTTGAATAATCTTTGTTGATGCAAGCATCACACCAATTTTATAAACAAGCAATTAGTGACACACATGCATATTTTTTTTCATTCATGATACAGAACAATTTCTTTCAAGTTGCTGAGAATGAGATGCCCGCTTACACGGGAATTCATTTTTCAGATTTACTGTTGGGTAATTTGAATCACTTTGCAAGTCCACACAGTGAAGCAAAGTAGGCTTGACGGTGAACCTTTCATCACAAGGAATACACTCGGATGGTTCGTCCTCTTCTGTTTTAAGCAGATATTCGCGGGTAAACCGACTGTGGCCAATACGACATCGTTGCAAAACGACCACATCATGTCTAGACGGACAAACCAAGTAGGTATGACTGAGTGTTGGTTTAAATTCGTGAAGTTTATTGATTCCTACCTGACTGTCCCACCTTTTTTTGCATTAGATCACGAGAATAACTCCTTATGGTTGGTTTGAAATCACTGTATGGGATAAGAAGTGGAGATAGCGGTTCGTCAAGATCGGCTTTAGCTGCAGCATCGGCTATTGAGTTAACTATTTTTTCAACATGACGAGCAAAAGACGGAAGGAAGACCATTAAAAGATCAGACTCTCTTACAACAAAGTTCTGTTCACATGTCAGACATGACTTGTTGGAACAAGACACCTCATCCAGTCCGTCATGATAATTTGTTATACTTTTACAATTATATTCTTAATGGACTCAGTGCCGATATTGTGTCTTAACGTCAGTCTCTCGTTTCTGAGTAAAGAAATCAGTAACATTCACAACGTGATCGGATTTGTACACTTGTCAAAGATTTTAAGTGTTTATGCCAGCGTGTGACCGATGCATTGTGATTGTATGGGCGCTTTCGTATGTGGCCTTTTTTCAAAATATTACTTGTTATCACCTTGAATGCTTACCTAAGAAAACATTGACAGTGAAATCGATCAGCCAGATGATATCCAGTCTCGGTTATCTGCCGAAGCAAATTCCATTGGGCATGAAACTCAAAGTAGTGATGAAAGTTATATGAAATCAACTGGATAGGTCCTTACTATTTCATACGTGTTTCGATGATCCGCTAAAACCGAACAAATGTAGGACGAAATTAACATTTTGAGTCAAACGGCAAAGTAATTTAAAAAACATTTTTGAGAATTGTTTCGTAAATATTCATAAAAGATTACCCGAAAAGGTATTTCTTTTAACTGATACATTTCCATGACAGCCAAAGACCCTATGGTTATAGACAAACAAATCTCGAACATTTTTTATTCTTTCCAATCACCTGTTTGTATTAAGTAATCGCGATACAAGCCGGTAGTTGTGGACCCTCTTGCCAATCCCAGCAAACATTCCGAGTAATATAAAAAAGCTGGAAACAAGGAAGGAAGCTGAGAAATATCTCGCAGGCATCCATAATGTTAATGGGTCATGGCTGTGTGGACACTCAATCCCCTTTCTCCCAAGGAGGAAAGCTGAGAAATATTTTCGCCAACATCCATAATGTTAAAGGGTCATGGCTGTCCGGAATCGCAGTCTTCTTTGTAAATAGGTATGTCTTTCTCAGACCGTTCATTGTCAGTTGAGCAGTCTGTCGTAGATACGTAAATAATAAAATAGTTTTCAGCCATTAGTCTTTGTTCTGTGATACAAAATAGAAAATCAAATTCAATAAGAAGAGCGTAAAGGGCCACCTGATATTTCACACTTCTAAGAAATTTATGAAAATATAATGTCACCTTTATCTTTGTCGCTCACTGAACCCTTCTATTCATTCAAAATTCAAATAACTGACTCCTTTACAAGTCATTAGTTAGGGTTCATTGGGACTACACCACGTTATAAAGCACAGGTTCTGCATCAATCACAACATTCTACAAAATGATGTTTCTTGGCTTGGAGCTGGTGTTCCTTTTGTCAGCTGGTATTCCTTATATTAGGATGTATGGTAATACTGAAGAATCACCAAACCACCCTACCCCGTACAATCTACAAGACACACTGGATCGTCAGTGTCGACTTCTGATAACTGAAAGCTGTAAACTTGGACCATGGATAATACAAATGTGCCAAGGCAATATGCCACACATAAATGCAAAGAACAAAGAACGACCAAAGACAACAACACTTCCAAGAACGAAATGGACAGAAGAGGATAAACGATCGGTGTTCAATTCCTCTTCACTTCGGCAGGACACACATCACTTCACGACCCTTGACACTGCGG